TGGCCTCTGGGAAGTTAGCACAAAGATACAGAAGGGACAGACTCAGAACAAAGAAATGTTTGCTCCTTCCCATGCTGCCTGTTGGGAAGGGAGATCTCTCCTGCAGAGCCTGGGGACTAGAAAGAAGCAGGGAAGGATGGGCATGGCTCAAAATAGCCCTGACTGAGACAAGCCTGAGAAAGGCAAAGTAAAACACAGAAAAGCATGGACTGCTCCAGCAAGGAGTTGGTCCCATGGAGCAGAACTCCCCTACCACACATATGGGATCCACCCAGATCCATTTCTTCCCCAAAACGCTTCCCTCCTTATGTATTTTCCCTTCACTAACTGATTTGGTCTTCAGTCCATTTTACAGCTGTTGTTGAGAAACTACAGCTCACCAGAAGCTTGTACTAGCCAGAGTCCTCACTTTCATTTGGTTTCCTTCTTCTCAGACACCTCTTGCTTTGTGAAGTGCAGTGTGTGTGAGGAGTAATATGCCTCTATGTGGAAATGTCAAATGCATTACATTCTAGTCTGGGCTCTAGGAATAATGCATTTATTCCTAAATAAAACAACAAAATTGATTTATTGCCTTCTTGTCAACCAAACATGGGACAAGGCTGTCAAAGGAAACACATGTCATTAAAAAAAAATTGACAGGTAATTTCTGTTACATAAAGAGAGAAATATCCAAGTTAGCCCATTTGACAGCACACATCACTGCATTACAACTGATGGTCATCAAAAAAGACAACCTTGGAAGAAACTGCCTCTGTGAGCTGGCAGACTGGAAGAGCAGAAAGGGTGCTGGTTTTGTGCTGGGCAGTCTTTGGGATATTTCCATTTATTAAAACCGAGCTTTACTGCACAAAATACAGGGAGCAAAGTCCCACACCTGTGTTCAGGGAAGCTGGACCATGAATAAGTTGGGTCACAGACCCACAGGGCACGGTGGTGGGGAGTGACCAGGACCTCACACTCATGTTGGAGCCAGTGGAGCAAACTCAAAGGGGATGCTGAGCTACAAAGGATCCTGATAGTGCTTGGTGCCATTTGGGAGCAACCCTGGTGCAGCCAAAGGATGTTCACTCACCACCCCAAAAAACACCTCTGCTGTGCCTCAGTGGCTGTTGTTTACCAGAAGGCATCAGCAGGACAGTGTTTGACTCCAAGTATCTGTAGCTAACTGCAGAAGCAATTGCTTCCAAGCTGGCTGCACAAACCTGGCCCTGCTTGGAGGAAAGAAGAAAGAGGCATCACTGGCTGCTTTCAGTCACCCAGTGAGGAAAAAGCTGCTCATAAAAAAAGTCTCAGTGGTGCCATGCACCACCAACATGGCAGGGCACTGCACTCCCCCTCACAAAGCAGGGACTGGGGCCTACAACATCTACAGCTGGAGACAGGCAGAGAATTTGCAAAACCATTTTTTTTGCTTCCATGACATAGAGTTGACAGATGCTGCCTTCACTGTTGTCAAATTGACTTTTACATGATTCCTAATCTTGCTGTTTTACAAAGCAGTGGAAGAGGCAGTGAGGGATAAAGACAGAGGCTCTTGGAGGGGCTCCTGCTCAGGGCAGGTTTCCCTGCTCAGCAGCACAACCATCTCAAATCACGCTCCTGCCACCACACACTCCAACACTTCCCTTCCCACCGCGCGTACTTCAGCACGCTGCTTTGTAAAGCAAGCACATCTCTTCCAAGGTCATTTATGCAAGCGGTGTTAAGAGATAAAAAGAGCACCTGGTTGTGTTTGCATGGTACTAACAAATACCAGATATTTCCTACATGAACTGATGGGCCTAGCTGTTACAGACGCTTAACAGCTCACAGATAAAACTTTCTAAGAGGACAGGGTTTGATTTTTAATCCAGAAGGCAAAACAAAAGTCAAAGTAGAACTCCTAGAGATTAATAAAGATCCAAATCCCCAAGAATAAGCACTATAAGTTCTTCTTACTAGTCTTTAAACAGATTAACAGCTTCACTGTTTATCATTATACTCCAGATAGAATTTTGAGGTAGGTGTGAAGTCATCTACCTTAAGAGAGTTGATGGTAGTGCAGGAAACATGGATCCAGGATCTGAAACCTGAATCCAGGATCTAAAACCTGCAGAGCACAGATGCAGAAAAATACTGCAAAGCAAGTAACTGCAATGCAGGAATAAGTTTTCTCAGCAAATCAACCCCAAAAGAGATGGGGAATGAGATTTTCAGTCCACTGATACCATGAAGATGAGGGTGCAAAAACGTACTAACAGCGATACAAGAAGCACCATAAAAGCCAAGCAAAACATCTCAGTAAATTTAAACAGTGAGCACTGTGGCTATACCAAATGGCTATTAAATTATTGCAAAGGATAAATCCTGAAAGTCATCAGCCAAGATGATCACACAGCTTCGTAGGTGTGTATCAGGAGGTACCTGCACAAATGGGAACACACCAGGCGTATGAGAACACAAGGGGTATGACAACTTCCAAAGGGCCTTGTGGCAGAGAGAGCTTTTGTTTTCTCACATCTATCAGATCAAAACACAACATATCAGCAATGACAGCCTTCTGGGACACTTCAAATGGGACATCCAAGCAAACGGGTCTGCTGAGTAAAGAAAAAAGGGGTGAGGGGAAAGGGGTGTTAAGCAACCAATCACTTGAATGAATTGGGTTTGTAAGACACAGATGCAGGAACAAAGTGCAGCTGTTGAGAGAAGCAGTAGGTTTTTTCAGCAGGTCCCTTTCAAGGAGAAAAGGCCCATCCAGAAACTCTTGCCAATCTGTAAATTATAAAAATTGAAGCTCAGAGGGCAGCATGCTGGTTAACTAGAAATGTTGAATTGCCCTGAATTGTATATAAAAGAACAGTAAGACTAAGACCCACTTTTCCTCATTACTACCATCATCTTCTCCACTGTAATCTTGCCAAAAGAAGCCCACTTAGTCCCTGGGCAGGAATGATTTCTGCAGTGGGGTTGGTGCCATTTTCCTTTCAACAAATATTGGGGAATGGCATGATTTCTCCTGGTTCTGGAGCGAATGAGTACCCTCTTCATGCTCCACAGAGATGCTGTTGTCTGCTGCCCTCTAGCTTTTACCTGCAGCTTTCGATGCAAGGCAAACAGAAGCAGCAAATCCTTTGGTCCCAATCCAGTCAGTGGGAGCTTTCCAATTCAAGATCATAATTAGATTAAAAGCCATTGTAAGATGGGACCTTTCTTTCTTTCTTTTCTTTCTTTTCTTTCTTTTCTTTCTTTCTTTTCTTTCTTTCTTTCTTTCTTTCTTTCTTTCTTTTCCTTCCTTTTCTTTCCTTCCTTCCTTCCTTCCTTCCTTCCTTCCTTCCTTCCTTCCTTCCTTCCTTCCTTCCTTCCTTCCTTCCTTCCTTCCTTCCTTCCTTCCTTCCTTCCTTCCTTCCTTCCTTCTTCCCTTTCTTCTATTTCTTTTCTTTCTTTGATTTCCACTGACTTCAGGCTTACTGACCCTCAAACAGCCCACCTCCATGCCCAGCTCTAAACAGAAACCCTAGAGCACACAAGTCAAATACTGTGTCTGAATCAGCAAGCTACTTGTGAAAAAAGAAGCTTCTATAACACAGGGAGGGGGGGAAAACCTTCTTCAAGGTGTAACAGAGCAGAGAGACTTCTGGCAAATCTTGGTTTGGTTTTGGGATACCAGGAGAAAAATGTACTGAAAGGTGTTACCCTTTTGCTTGATACAGTCTATTTTAACACAGAATCCAGCAATGGTCTGGTCAGGAATTCCTGACCTAAATCCTCAGGAGTTCTTTTATTAATTTTTAGTCCTTCTAATCCTTAATCTTTTTTGTCTAGATGGTCTAAGATTTCTGAAACTCTTCAAGATGGGATTCTTTTGTCACTGACTCAGAATAATTATTGGGGGTTTTATACATGACAGCAGTTTATGGATATAACTCCAAAATACATCCACAGAGAAGCTTTTACATACCCTGATATTTAGAAGAAAAAATGGTAGGGACATTAAACACCACCTTCAGAGGCTCTGACCGAAAAGTGCAGAGGTCACAAGCAGATGCCTTGGTTTATACAGATGCCCAGCAGAGCTCTTTAATGAAGGCTGGTCCCTCTAGACACCTCTGGTGAAAGCTGAATAACCTGTCAGAGCACATCCCCCAGGTTCCTCACAGCACAGAAAGTACAGCACAGCAGCAGAGGCTCTGCTCTTTGCTCCACCTGCACCATTTTGCAGCTGAGCCCCCTGTTGCAGTAAATAACTTCCTGGGATCCCATTCAAGCAAGAGCTGGACTTGATCCTGGCGGAATATTCCAACTCAGAATATTCTGAGAGTCTTCTTCTGTGGTTCTGTTGGAGAGTGCCCAAAAGAGAGCTACGAATACAGGCCTTGAGGGGAAGCCGTGTGAGGAACGACTCAGGGCACCTGGGCTGTCCAGCCTGGAGGAGGCTGAGGGGAGCCCTCATGGCAGGCACAGCTTCCTCGGGAGGGGAAGAGGAGGTGCAGGCACTGATCCCTTCTCTGGGGTGACCGGTGACAGAACCCCAGGGAATTGCCTGAAGCTGTGTCAGGGGAGGTTTAGGTTGGGTATCAGGAAAAGGTTCTTCACCCACAGAGTGGTTGGGCACTGGAACCCGAGAGAGCTCGAGAAGCGTTAGGACAGTGCTCTCGGGCGCATGGTGTCACTCTTGGGGGTGGCGCTGTGCCGAGCCAGAAGCTGACTGGTTGATCCTTGCGGGCCGCTTCCAGCGCGGCGCACTCCGTGTGCCCTTCTCCCCGTGTCCCCGTGTCCCCGCGTCCCCGTTAACTTCCCGCTACGGAGCGCGGATCCCGCTGGCAGCCACCGCCCCGCCCCCCCGAGCCCCGCCCTCCGCCATTCCCATTGGCCAGAGACCCCGCCCGTCAGCGGCCGTTGCCGTGCGACCGGCCCCGCCCCGGGGGCGGCCATGGGGGCGGTGCCGCCCTTGGGGAGGTGCGGGCCGGCGGCGGGGGGTGCTCCGGTACCGGCACCGCATCCGCGCCCATACCCATACTCATACCCATACCCATGCACGGCGCGGAGGAGACGGCGGCCGGGCCGCGGGTGAAAGCGGCGAGCACGCAGACCGACAGCATGGCCGGTGAGCCGGACTGCGGGGGTGAGAGGGAGGGCGGGCCGGAGCCTGGCCCGCCGTGACGGAACCGCGGCCCCGCGGCGCTGTCGGCGGGCTGGGCCGGGCCGGGCCGGGCCGGGCCGTGCTGTGCCGGGTGGGTGGGTGTATCTGAGGGAGGTGTGCGCTGACCGGCCCCTCGCGGGTCTCGCCTCACCCACCGGGTCCTTCCAGGGGCCGCCTGGTCTGTCCTCTGTTCAGGGAACACACTCAGCCTCATTCCGGGGCTGTTCGGAGAGCCCGCGCCTTCCCTCTCTGCCGGTGATGCTTCACAGAGTGCTCCTGACCGCCACAGACAGTGCAGTAATGTGTATATATATGTATAAACATACATATATCTACATATGTGTATATATAGGCGTATATGTACGTGTGTGCATATATAAAGTATCTGTGTACTTATATGTACCTATACTTTCATAAGTAAATATGCGTATAAGTATAGATAGCATATCTCTAGTAGGTAAGCATATAGATACTTTATATATATGTATTCATACTCACTTGATACTATATATTTATAGTGTGTGTGTACATTTATGCTACATATACAGTGTATGTATATATACATAAAGTATATATATACTTATTTGTATAGTATCTTTAGCATATATCTATAAATTTAAAAAAAAAATATATATACATATATTCTCCATCCTCCCCCACTCCTTCTTGACAACACCCTTCTCCACGAGGGCCTTTTGATAACATAGGCTTGTATTTTGCTCCCCCCTTCCATCCCATTACAGCAATTTCTTGCCCTATACCAGGTATATTTAATATGCATACAATGCAATGTGCAGGAAAGTGCTCGCCTGAGGGGTGTTTTAACTAACTCCACAGCAAGCCTATGGTATGGGTTTGGTAGAGAGCAACTTTCTCACAGGGCTAGGGGTGCCCAGGAGAAACAGATGCTGGTAGATTGCACAGATCCCACTGCTGTGTCCCAAGGGAGTGGTGTGTGCGTACAGATGTGATGTATATGTGGTTCTCAGACTGAGCACCATGGCAGGGCAGCCAGCTCTCCTGGGTGGGCATATGAGTTTTATTTCATCCCAGTTTCGTAGAAAGCCTGCTTCCAAGCAAGCAAAATTTATTAAATCTGAAAATGGGTTTTAGTTTCCTTTTCCCAGGCAGCAGAGTGATGTCAGTGGAAGCTTCCTCCTTGGTGTCAAGCACTTGTTAGAAGCTTTCAGGCTTTGGGCTAGGAACTCCTGCATTGCTGGCAGGACACAATCCTGGATCCGAGCCATGTCCGGGTAGGCTGTGCCCTGCTCCTGTGTGCTTCCAGGTGCAGCAGGGTTTATGGCACCAGCCTCCACACACACACACACACACACACACACACACACACACCTTCCCTGGAGCTTGCCTCGCCTCACTGAAGTAAGATCAGTAACTAGGAGGAATAAAATCATACCTTTATGCAAAGTGGGCCTGATGCACCTGGAGAGAGCACTCCTTTCACGTGGCTTTGCTCTCTGTAGCAGAGAGCCTGATTCCTTTATTTCCCCAGTCTTCTGCAGTTGCTTTTAATTCTGTAAGGCATCTTCTGCCTTTTTTCCAGTCCATTTTAACCAGCCTTCTCTTCATCCTGTTGAACCTAAGGGAATGTTTAACTGCCTGAGGTAAGATGCAAACACTCAGATATGATAACTGTAACTAAAGATCTTTCCTTCTTCAGAATGTTTTCCTGCTTCTCAATATAAATTCATGTCAGGATGTTCTCCAGTTTGTTTCCCATGCATTTGAGAGGTCACATTTGGGTTAGGTGCAAGAAAACAAAGAGTAATTAAAACTATTTTATGGTGCATGCGGTTTTAAGTCTACTCTGTGTGCCACATTGTGGGCCATTGTAGAAAACACAAAGGTGTGTGTTTGCACTGGCAGAAATTGCACTGTTGGTTTCACCTTGCCACTTGGGAACTGTACGTGTGTGTGCCATGACAGGAGCAAACAGGGGCTGTAATGAGAATGAACTCAAGTGCCCATTTAACAAAACAGATTCTGCTTCTTTAGGCGTGGCTTGTAGACTTTCTTTTTACTGTTTGCTTTTAGTACAGGTGACAACAGCTCTTGGTGTGTGCCTCTTGCCGTTTCTAGCACACGTATCTGACTGTGCTAACCAGGTGCCCCTTGCAGTGCTGGTGCCAAGTGGGGTAGCAGAGCTGGGCAGCCTCAGGAGCAGTGGACAATGTGGAATCAGATAGTGCTGCTGACAGGCCCATATTTGCTTTCCAAACCACACTTATGTGTGAAAAAAGCTGCTAAAATACCATCTGAAAATGGTGTTTCAGTCATGGATTGCATATGTTTATCTGTTGTTCTAATTGTTTGGGTTCACAGACATGTCATTAAACTAACCTCTCCCTCAGCTAGGCAATCTTAGTATCTGATTATATCTCTTCCAAGCTGCTACACCTGCTTAACGAATGTTTTTCTCCATTCTGTTCCATTCTTGCCACTGCCATTACCTCCTTTGCAAACTCTGTAACATTTGTGGGAAAAGATAGAAATAATACTATTGTCAGACAGCACGTGTGAGACCTGCAGAGGAATATGTGTTCATTACAGCTCTCTGTAAGCACCCCTGAAGTGGGGACTGGAGATATTCCCAAGACTTTATAAACTTCTTGCCAAGTGTGAGGCAAGATAGCTTTACATCTGGAGCGGTGCAAGCTTTACTGAGCAGCACAGTCAGTGCTTCCTCCTTTTTCCTTTGTGGGGAGCTCAGTAGTGCTGAGTTGTGCTGGCCCTCACAGCACAACTTCCAGATTTGGAGTAGAAGCACAGCACAAGGTGGTGCTCTGAGAAAGGATTTTTGGATTTGGATATTTTGTCAGAAGTGACAGCCTGAGCAAAAGGTTTAAATTTTTGTTAAAAAGCTAGCCAAAATCTAAGCAGACTGTAAGAATCCAGAAGCAGGATCTCCAGAACTGATGTAACTGCAAGGTTCCACAATAGCTCATCCTCTCTTGCTGCAGGCATCAGTGTAAGATCATGATGTGTGTGCCTGGATATTTTTGCCTTCTTCTGTGGTGAGCCTGAAGCTGAATTAGAACCTGTCTCAGATTTCTCTAAGCATCTGTGAATCATTTGAGCACATTAAGTTGTGTGGGGTCTGATGGTCTGATCTGTGATTTCTGCTCTACCCCTCTGAGTCCAACAAACTCACTGAAGCTCAGTGAAAATTTCATCAGTTCCTCTTGTTGTGCAAATCTGATCTCTGCATCTAAATGTGAGCATCCTGAGTTGGCAATGACTGCCCTGAAAGGGATGGTGTGGATGTAGCTGCTGCAGGAGTAGAACCAGCTTCTGTAGCAGCTGTGGTATAAAAGACTTGAAAAATAATGTTCAGCAATATGGAGTTTCTTTATAAATATTCTCTAATAAATATTTCTCTTTTTTTCTTCAAAACAGGTCAAATGCCAAGACTTTCTAAGGTCAATCTTTTTACTTTATTAAGTCTCTGGATGGAGCTCTTTCCCTCACATGAGCAGCAGAAAAAATCCCAGGTAAAATGTCTGTGCTTATTGTTAATTGGTCTTTCTGAAGGGCTCCTTCAGTGAATTTAACCCAACTGCTCTTTAGATGGCACATAGTCCGGATGAAGAAAAAAACCAAACAACCAAATGTAGTAAACTTTTTTCATATATTTCTTAGAAGAAGAAAAAAATCCAGTAGTAGGAGAAAAATAGCAAGATGGCTAAATAGCATGCTCTTTCTGAAAAACTGTGAAAGGCAAGATACTTACCCCAAGAGGTGAAGCAAGTACTAAAAATCAGCCAGTGTTATAAAGAGCACGACAAAGGAGGTGTGGTATGTACCCTGTGTGGAAAGTCAGTGTGGTTGTTGGTGCAGAGAGACTCTTTTGGAGTTACAATGTTCATGCCTGTAGATGAGCAGTTCCTTTATACCGTGGAGGTGTACACGAGTACTTGAAATGTTTGCTGGTCAAGAACTTCTGGTAACTACTTTAGTGACAAGGAAAAGAAGCTGCCTTTGAGAGTGGGTCTTCTAAACTGTAACCAGTTACTCTTCAAAGTCAAGAGGCATTTTCAGACTGACCTGGAACAGGATGTTTCCTGTTTTGATCAGAGTTGTTACTGGGCTTTTAAGTGATAACTGCATTGTGCAGAGCATACCCATGTGCTAAGATCTATAGCACATGTATCAGCCAGGGCAAGAAGAGATAGGAAAATAACCTGAGTGACAATTAGGCCTAATTTTCAGAGCTGGGTATGTCCCAGGCTAGATCTGAAGGAGGGATAGATGAGCAGCAGCTACAGCCTTCAAAAGCAGTTTGAAATTTAGTAATTCAGTTAGAAATGGCACTTGGCTTGTACGTAGGGCTTTAGTGAAGTCTCATTTCTGTAAGCGCAAAGCAGTTGAATAATTTATGGATCTAAGGCAGCAGTGTTCAGTAGAAGCTGGAATTCATAAAGAGATCTGTTTCACCAGCTTCATCAAACTAGTTTGTATCCAGTTTTTTCACAATACATGGGAATCCAGATGTAGTAGCTCTTGTCTGTGGTGTGCAGACTTCTTCCATGGAAGATTCTTTAGAACCAGGATTCATTACATAAATGAAGAGATGAAATAAAGCTAGGGAAGCTATTGGCTCCCAGGATGGTCAGGCTTAAGACAGAAATTAAATTCATGAGCATTTCCAGATGCTGGCTGATTCAGAGAAGGTTTCAGCTATAATTGACAGAATTTTCTATGCTGCTTCTGGATTTTGCTAAGGGCAAACAAATGACCAGAAAAAATCAGGAATTTGTGACAAGTCCCTCTTTGGAGTTTGACAGAGACACGGCACCCTGATATTAACCGGCACATGTGAAAACAAAACAACAAGAAAAAATACTTAGGAAAGTGCAGATTGTTTAATGATTGGCTTGTAGTGAAGAGCTCTGTGCTCTACTGCTGGTTTGTTACTATTATCCAAGGAAGAGATGTAACATCTTTATGGAACCAATGTTGAAAAAAAGTAAAATAATAATAATGCCTTTTTCTGTAGGTGAAGAAGAGTGGTCTGGTTGTGGTGAAAAATATGAAGATTATTGGTCTTCATTGCTCCAGTCCAGACTTGCATGCTGGCCAGATTGCACTCATTAAACACGGATCAAGACTTAAAAATTGTGATCTTTATTTTTCCAGAAAACCATGTTCAACTTGTTTAAAAATGATTGTAAATGGTAAGCAATGACTGTAGTAGAGTGGGAGTAAATGTTACACTTGTGATTGAAAACAGAAAGCCTGTTTTCTCTTTGGACTGTCCCACTTGTGAATGCCAATCCCTGATTTGTGTAGTGTGCATTGATGTTTTCCATAAGGAAAAAATGAATGTACATGTCTTTGAGCTGATGGTCAAGAAACTGGGGTTTGCTGCCAAGACCCTGTTTCCCTGTAATTTGCAACCATTATTACTGGTGGTACTTGTCTCTTGGCTGGGATGCACTGCTGAGGTTCTGACTGTCCTTTTGCACTCTGCCAGAGCAGCCCTAAGCCTCATGACAAGGCCTAGATGGATGTATTTTCCCTTGCTTTCCCTTTGCTTGTCACTGACCCCAGGGAAGAGTGGGTTTTTATGCAGAAATCACAGGGAGTACTTAAGGGTTTCCTTTCCCATGAGATAGGAAGACAAACCAGATCATTCACTTCCAGAAATGGGATCTGCTGGTACAACCCTTCTGCAAATATTGATTTTTAATCTCAGCAGCAATGTGCTGCTGAGTGCTAACTGTCAGTGCTAACTATTTTTGTGTGTTGCTAATTTATCTGTTGGATGTAAGATGCAAAATTAGGCAGTCACAAAGATCTGGGAACTTGGGTAACTCAAATTTTTATCTGTAGTCTGATTATCAAGTTGGATAGCCCTTGATACTTGTAACTACCAGCATTTTTGTTGTCTAGACAGCCCTTAGAGAGGACTTGGGGCCTTAAAGAAGCAAAACCAGGGTTAGGCAATAGTGTGTTGAATATGAGCTTTGTGTTCCACTGCACTTGCATGGTTCCTTCTGCTGCATTATATTCTCTTCCAGCTGGGGTCAACAGGATTTCCTACTGGCCTGCAGATCCTGAAATCAGCTTGCAGAGCGAGGTATCCAATCCAATGAGCACTGAGGATGCAAAGCTGGATGCCAAAGCAGTGGAAAGACTGAAGTCAAACAGCCGTGCTCGAGTGTGTGTGTTGCTTCAGCCTTTGGTGTGCTACATGGTGCAGTTTATTGAAGAAACTTCCACCAAGTTTGATTTTATTCAGAAAATAGCAAAATCACAGCCTGACTCTAACACTGACTTTTATACTGCGTGTAGGCAAGAGAGAATAAAAGAGTATGAAAGTTTATTTCTAATTTCAAATGAGGAAATGCACAAGCAAATATTGATGACAATGGGACTGGAGAACCTTTGTGAAAACCCATACTTCAGCAACCTTAGACAGAATATGAAAGATCTTGTCTTGGTCTTGGCATCAGTGGCTGCCAGCGTGCCTGTGTTTGGATGCTTTGGGTTTTACAGGAGCGGATCCCAGCGAACAAATGAGGCAGAGGATCAGTGTTTGCCCCAGGACGTGGCCAGGCACTGCATGATACAGGCCAGGCTGCTTGCCTATCGGACAGGTGAGTCATTGCTGGGGTGCAGGAGTGATCAGTAGGGGGCTCAGCAGTAGAGCAAGTTCCTCATTTCAGTCTTGTTCTTCCAAATACTTCCTTGAGCAAGCTGCTCCATGCCATTCCTACAGGTGTGAAATGAGTGCAACAATAATAGTAAAGACTCCTCAGGGGCACACAGTATTGTGTGTGAAAGCTTTCCATGAGGAAATCAGTGCAGGTGTTTCACATACAGTGCTGGCAAACCCTGCCCTGCCAATGTGTCCAACGCCCAACTGAAAATAGAACAGAATGACATTTCAATTCTTCAAGCTGCTCTGAGGCTCTTTTTACTGAAGTCTCACAAGATGCTTCTGTTATCAAATAAATGTCAATATTTCAAGCAGATTATGTACACTTCAGAAAAAAGCACTGAAATAATATCCTTCAGTAGGACATTAAGTACCATTATATTAAGTCTCCTAGTCCTAATGTTGTTAGTGGAAGTGCTTATATGTCTGGTGGGGATTTTCTTTGTACAGATGCTGGAGTTTTATGTCCAGTTTTCTGATGTAGAAAGATAGTTATTGATTCTCTCTTGATAGAGATGACTTCTGTTAGCTTCTTTATTCTCTCTGGCTACCAATGCAGGAAAGTGATAAGTTCTTCCAGAGAACACAAAACTTGGTGGTACTCCATAGAGATGTTTTTGTACTCTAGATATGATAGCTGCTTTTTTTTAAACCATTGTAAGCAAACAAATAGTACATGTACAAAGCTTAAACCAAAACTAATCCCCCAACACACCCATCCAAACCCAACCTGTTAAGTCAGGTACCCTCAGCAAATTCTGTCTCCAAAAATTGCAGAAATGACATTTTTTAGATGTAATTCAGAAGTTTCATGTAACCAGTTATGAGTTCTTTGTACAGTTTCCATTATACAGAACAAGATGGAATGACCAAGCTTGAGTACTCTTGGGGCAGCAAAATTCAGGTTTAGCTGTAGTATTTAGCCTGGACTCAGGTCTGGGGTTTGAGCCAACTTTTATTGCACTGCAATGAAATTAAAATAAATAGCAGCTCACACACATATTTAGGTGCTTTACACTATTATATAGGTGCATATAAAGGGAGCAAGAACATAGGATGTTTTCTGTGCTGGTTTAATCAGTCATTATCATCATCTCTTCATCAGTGTCTAATAAATATGTAGAATATAGATGAAGACAGCTTTGATAAAGTACATCTTTGGCAGGAAAAGCCCTCTTTGAGTTACTGCATATGGTAGTGATACTAAGGATGATGGAAATGATTAATGGAAACTGTGTTCTGCAATATTAATCAATGGAAGCCTGAAATGTTTTTCTCCTTGATATGCTCAAGATTCTCATCAGTAGCTACTGGGGAAGATTTTCAAGTGCCATAAAAACCATCCAAATCACATAAGGAAAGCTCTGTACCAGTTTTCCTATGGTGGTGATAGACTACACCACCAAAATCCAATTGTTAATATTTTGTCTCTGAATTTGGTATAAAATAGGACTAATTTTTATATGACTTCAGATCAAAGAAGCGTAAACTTAAAGAGTAGCAAAAATTAAGTCATTAAATTAATGACTTAATAAGAAGGTTTCTGTCAGTTAGCTGTCTTACATTTGTAAACCTGCCTACACATATTCTTGGCATGCATTTTCTTATCCATGTGTTGGTTGCTTTATCTTATTTGTGAACAGATGTACACAGCAAAATCTTAGAATGACTGCCTTGCAGTAAGAGCACACTCAGCTTTTACAGTAGGATCATATGATTTACAAGCTTTTAATCTTTCTGCATTTCTTTCCTCCTGTTCCCAAAGCAACAACAAATGTTATTCCTTGCTCTAGGATGTCATATGTTAATGTATAGGTAACTCAGAAGTGCTTTATTTGTTATTTACACCTAAAATGTTATGTATTTTAGAGGATCATAAAACGGGAGTTGGAGCTATTATTTGGGCAGAGGAAAAATCAGTAAGTATTGAAAAAGTTACTTTTTCTTGAACTCACAATTCATACACTGGATTTGCCCTTGTTATTTTCCTTTAAGTTTATACACTTCTGTTTTTCATGCACACACATGCAGGTTTAGTAACTAAGTTGACTGATTCATTGTAATGCTTTAAGATGAAGGAGAAGTAGAAATTATTTTAGTAACTACAACAGTTACTAAAATAAATGGGAATCCAGATGTAATAGCTCTGGATTTTCAGTGCACCTGCTTCCCCAGTCATTGTCAGTTATTCCAGGTATCCTGGCTACAAGGTGTTGCCACAGCTGCTGATCAGGCAGCATGTGTCCTGCACAGCCCCTCTTTACAGCTTTTTAGGAGAGGTCTCGGTGCAATTATAGCCTGATGGTCTCCTGAGGATATTTTTTGCAGTGAAATGCTGTATGGGCTTTAGCACATTCCTTTTTAGATCAAAGCTGTATTTTTCTGTGAATATTGTTACAGTGCTTTTTCCCATCCAAACAGAAAGTTTTTGTTCTTTGTGTCTCTGCTTATGCATGTTACCAATCCCAGGAGGCCTCATTCTTCATGCAGCTGCAACATACTCTTAATTTGTTTTTAACACTTTCGTCGTCAGCTGCTTATGGCTATTTTGTTTCTTTTTCTTTCTTCAATCGCCAGTTGCCTCTTATCAGCCCCCTGGTCACTGAGTCTGTTAAAAGACTGGCAAAACACCATCTCTGGCACATCAGGGATGAACTCCAGCTGTATTTAATCATGTGCATTGTTAAGGACTAAATCCTTCCGACTTCTTGTTCCTGCTGTCAGTATTACTTGCCAAAAGGAAAGCCTCAAAAGCCTGGTGCAGGTAACAGAGGTGTTACACTTCACCTGAGCAGCTCCTACAGGGCTCAGTGGAAAAGCTTCAGACAGGCATGGAGCAGTTGGCAAGAGCTGAGCTGTCTGAGCATGCAAAAGTATGCATTCCACTGTACTTTGACTTAGAACTCAGTTAAAATACCATCCAAATTTGATGCTTTGTTTACTGTTGCAGAGAGGCTGTGATGGAACAGGAGCAATGTATTTTGTAGGCTGTGGTTACAACGCCTTTCCTGTTGGATCTGAATATGCTGATTTTCCACACATGGATGATAAGCAAAAAGATCGGGAAATCAGGAAGTTCAGATACATTATCCATGCGGAGCAGAACGCCCTGACATTCAGGTAATGGGTTTGTTCTCACCACGGAGAAGAATGAGATGGTTTGGAAACAATTCCACAATAAATGCATGTTGTGGTTTAAGCCTGTGGGGAAGATGCACACCAGGCAGCCTCTTGCTCACTCCCCTGCCCCAGTGGAATGGGGAGAAGAATCAAAAGTAAAACTTGTAGGTTGAGACAAGAACGGTTTAATAATTGAAACAAAATTTATTAATAATAGTAGATGATAATAAAAATGAAACCCAAGGTAAAAACAAGTAATGCACAATACAATTGCTCACCAGCCACTGATCGATGCCCTACCCTATCACCAAACTCTGATCAATGTCCCTTCTAGGTAACTCCCCCAGTTGATATACTGGGAGTGACTCTGTCATGGGATATCCTTTGGTCCAGTTTGGGTCACCGTTCCTGCCTCTTGTGCAGCTCCTCACTGCCAGAATATGAATCAAAGCCCTTGATTCAGAGTAAGCATTACTTAGCAACAACTAAAACATCAGTCTCTTTTCAACATTATTCTCATACTAAATCCAAAGGACAGCACTGCACCAGCTGCTGAGAAGAAATTAACTGTATTCCAGCCCGAACTAGGACAATGTATGATGTCACTGTGATGAACTGTGGATTGCAATCACAGTCTTTTTTATGCCTGTGATGTAGAATTTGGATGTATATTGGCACAGTCAGCTCCTGGGGTTTCTTGAGATTTCTTGTATGAACTTGGGTTTTAAAGGATATTGGCTCCTTCAGTTATCCTTCAGATACAAACCACTGGCTCTGGTTCTTGCTAGACCAAAATGAGGAAGTGTGACAGTTGGTGAAGCTTCTAACAATAATAGGTGTGGAGACATGGGATGGGTGTTGTTCACAGATAGTGATACCAAGCCAGATTCCATTGTGTACTTGTGCACTTGATTGGGAATAAGTTGCTTCTGAGAGTAAATACCACTTTTTTGCTTGCTTTTTGAGGTATCAAATTTGTAATAATTGAAAACTACCAAGATACAAACTCTGAAATTCTGTTTTCTGACTGCTTGTAGGTGTCGAGAAATAAAGCCAGATGAGAGAAGCATGATATTTGTAACAAAATGTCCATGTGATGAATGTGTCCCTTTAATTAAAGGAGCTGGTATCAAGCAGATCTATGCAGGAGATGATGATGCTGGAAAAAAGAAAGCAGATATATCTTACATGAAGTTCGGTGAACTTGAGGGTGTAAGCAAATTTACAGTAAGTGTCTAAATGCACTGTATTCTGAAAACTGGGGGCAGCATTGGTGGGAGAGTAGAGTGAGCAGTCATCTGCAGCCAGCACAGAGGAGTGCTGTGCTGTTTAGTCAGGTGAGTGGAATTGAGAGGTTGCTCTGTCACAGTTCTGGGGAGCACTGCTGTGCCACGTGCCAGAGGATGGGGCAAGACCCTCTGTTTTCTCTGTCTACATGGAGGATTTCCCTCTAACTCACTGTTGTTGGAGGTGGTCTCTCCACATGGTGAAGTTCTGTCCGAGCCTCCCCTGTCACAGCATGACAGCTGATTTCAGAGGTCACTGTGTGATTTTGTTGACCCTTCCAGCAGCTCCCAAAAGAGCTGTGGTGGGTTTCAAATGTGGCCAAGTGCACCTGCAGTTATGGCACTCTCCATAACAAACTGCAGCACTGTAGGTGTGAGCAGCTTTAACATCTGCATGCTGTAATAATCATTTGTCCTCAAAGCAAGAGTGTTCAAGAGGGAGTCCTTGATTCCCCACCTCACAGGTCATGCCTCTCAGTGTGTAGTGTACTTTTCCTGTCTCACTTAGCTCCTTATTCTGTCTTCTGGAATAAGTAAACATTTTCTTCTTGTTTTACCAGTGGCAGTTAAGTCCATTGCACACTAATGCACTTGAATTCCATGACCCTACAGCCAGGGAAAGTAAGTATTTTTTTCATTAATTCATTTTATGACTGCAGTCAATAAGTGAGATCACATTTTAAACCAACCTGATTCCCTCTGAGATTGTTTTGTCTTAGTCTCGATTTCAGTGAGTTAAATTTTGCTATGAAACATTTTCTGAGGTTTTTGAATTGATGAGCTAACTGTTACAGTAATAGCTAACTGTAATAGGTGAACTAACTTGTAACAAAATGCTTGACATTGACACACATTGCAAAATCTAGCAATGCTACTGTGAAGGTCAGCAACATGCTGTTTGGCACGTAGATAATTTTAGACTGCTTTATCATGTTTTAACTTTTGTTCTAGAAAGACTTTTTAGATTGTGTTCTATAAAGAGTATCATTATTTTTCAAGATAAATTGGACTGGACTCCTTAGAGTCACAAAATCCTTGTTGACACACACCCCTGTAGCAAGGGAGCTGTCATCTTTTCAAAATAGAGTTTAGATAAGTCTTACTTTGAAGTCTTACAAAAGAGACTCATCATAGGCATCTACTGTCAGCTACCAATCATTAAAATGTTACTCATCCAGAGGGGAAAACAACATGGAAAATGGCAGCTAAATAACTTTTGTGCTTCAAGCTTGAAGATGCAGTGTAGAGATGCATTGAGTACCGTGTTAGGAGCATAAGACAGACTGAAGGTAGTTTTTGTGGCACACAAATAGCCACGTACTCCGAGCAAATTCTTATCATGTACTGAGATAAATTAGTGAAGAAGTTGTTTTGTTAGCTACTTCCTTGTGGGCTGGGGGAAGGGGGGGAGGGAAGGGCTCAGAGTAGTGCAAAATGTTAGGGCTTGTTTGTCCCTCTCTCTCTTAATGACCCAGCTGGAGAAAGATTAATCCTGGGGTACTTTGTTTGACAGCTTTTAACAGGGCTCATTTCTCTAACAATTTTCTTTAATGTGGTGTGCCTGCATTTTTAATACTGCACTGGTTTAAGTTCCTCTCTTTCCTAGGTGTATTCCTGTTAGCTAATGATTATTGCATGTTCCTCTGTAAGGAGAAGAAGACAATCTCCACCCCATTCCCCACCCCCAGTGTTACTCCAGTGTCCCTGTCCATGTTGAGTATTAGGCTATGCTTGCTGTTGTATTAATGGTCCATGCATGTTTTTTTCTTTAGATGGGGTCCAGAAAACAAAATCGCTGGATGACCAGCAGCACCAAAGCAAGAAACTGTGTCTAGGTCATTACTGAATAGTTAAGCACTTCCTGCAGTCTTGCTTCGTACTTTTTATAATACAGCCTGTTTGCACTTTCAAATAATGAAGAGTTTTATTTATTGTTTGGAAAGTGAATTTTAGAATAAGTTTATTTATGATGTCTTAAATGTTTTACAGCGTTACCTGAAGGTCTTTTTAATTTAGAAGCTCCTGGCGAAAAAATGCTGCTTGTATTTTCTGTGAAAGTAACTGGGTGGCTGATCATTTTTAACACATTAAAAAAATATACTGAAAGTTCATTGGTGGTAGATCAGAGTAACAATAAAATGGTGTCTCATTTGCTTGTGGTATGGATTGAGGGAATGGATTTATAAGTTCTGGGCTAGAAAATGGCAGAAATAAGCTGTACTTCTTCAAATACAATCATCAAGGGAATCTTCTAGGAAATGGTAGGTAAATAATCACCAGCAACTCTCTCTCTTCTTGAAAGTGGCTTTTACTTCTCAGTCTGCTTCTCAGTATAATGGACACAAAACCATTGGGATAGCAGTCATTGCTAGCTAAATGGTTTGGAGACAAATCTTGTCTCTCATACACACTTCTACCATACAGCAGAGCTGTTTAGTTTTCTGGTACTTGCCTTACTGCTCTGTGTGCTTCCTCACATGCAGTCTATCTGAATTAATGAAGACAAAAATTAACTTTTCTTTTTCTCAGTTTCTGGAGGCAGGCATAAAAGCATTTCACTGTATGTATCTCACTGGCACCTACATACCTGTGAAGATTGCTAGTGTTGAGGTTCTGTTATCTTCAGTGACAGGCTCCAAGGACTACAGGAGCTAATAAACCATCAGTGTCTGTCCTGTTGTGTCTTAGATAGGATGATCTGTACCAGTGAAATAGCCCAAATCTTTTCAGGTGCTTTTCTCTTGGATGACTGCACTACAAGGGTGACATTGAAACAGCCCCTGAAACTGCAATCTAGTGTTGCTAGTTTTGAAGGGCCAAGTAATGCATAACCAGAACAAAGAGTTGTACCCAGAATCTTTTGATTCCCATCTGTTTCCTGCTTTGAATCTGACCTCGAACTGTTTTTTTTAGCAGATGTCCCAAGACTTTCTGTTCACTCCTCTGCTGAGCTCTCCAGTGCAAATGCTTTAAATCTTTTCCTGTTCTTGCTGGTAGGGTATGTAAACAGCCCTTTCCCAGTTCTTTCATGCATCTTGTCTTTGCTGCCCTTCCTAAAGTCCTGGAAGGGGAATCATGTCCTAAGATGCATCTGTAGGTTTTTTTTGTTTCTTTTAGGTTTTGGAGAAGCTTGGAACTGCATAGCAGGGCTGTGACTGGATAGCGTACACTGTCCAAATTAGAATAAAAAGTGTGCTCTAGTCCACCCACTGAAACCTTCTTGTTTCCATAATCCATTGGCAATGCTCATCTACTTGAAGTAGAAACAAGGAAAAAAACAGGGCCAGATTTAAGGCCCCTTCAAGTTTTATACTGGTCAGTTTGCTGGTATCAAAATCAGTAAAATCTGTATCTTGATAGGAACAGCTGAAATTGAAAAATCCCTTAAACCTCATAGGTGGCCTGGGTACACAGAGAAGTAAATGAAGTCAAATATCACACACATGAAATAAGTCCAGTGAATGCTGCTGCTAGTCTCTGCTTCAGGAGGAGTTAAGATTCTACCTTTACTTTTATTTACTTTTTTTAAAAAGAAGATTTTTTTACAAAACTTTCTGTGAAACTTGTAATCCCTTGTAAGGCTGAAGGCTTGGAAGCCTGGCTTTATTTCTGTCTTACTACATTCTACAGAATCTTCCAGAGGCTGAGAAATTTCTCTAGGCTCTGATCGTCAGTATAACCCTACCTTAATTTTTACTGGAATTACGAAGTAGGGACTTTATCTTGACTAACAGGAGCAATGCAAATGGGGTTCCTCTCTCAGCCTATGGACTCTGTAGGTGCTGCTCAGCTTGTCTGCTTACCAGGGAGAGCTACAGAATACTACATCTCCTTCAGTGCTTATTTTACAAATCAACTCTAGGATGTTTGTTTCTTACATAAAAGCTGCAAGGTATTTACTCAAGAAATGTAAAAGTTATATATTTTATACATTGTATGAAATTTGCATATGCATTTTGAGACTCATTCATTTCAGAACAATCATTTTAATTGCAGGTATTAACTATCAGTAATAATTTGGCCTTGTGACTGAGAATTACAGAAATTCTCTGTTAACTGTCTGCCTTACAGCAAAACATGCTTCCTGCTAATAAATTACTCTGACAGTAAGTACTGAAGTGTATTTTTAAGTACTTTGGGTTATTAGGAACATTACAGAGTGCTTTGGAATGTTCACACTCCTTACAGGCCTTCCTCTGCTCTGCCTGAAGAATTTGTCTCAAATGAGACTGTGCCTCCTGGGAAAGTGCTGGGATCCCATTCCTTGGCCCATGAGGATTAATTTCCTCTCCCTCGGGAGAATGGGAACTGCATTAGGGAGCACTGCAAGCTGCCACCTCCATGGCCTGTTCCTTGGTTGGAGAGGATCAAAGTGGACGAAGCTTTGACCGTCCAACAGTAAAACTGGTTCCTGCCTCACCTCCTGCCTCGCTACCCTGGATTGCCTGTATGGGCATCCCCAGGGGCCCCACTTCCCAGTCCCCACAGAGCAGAGCAGAGCGGGATCGCTGCGGTGACGGGGCCAAGGACAGAGCCCGTCCCCAGTGCAGCTGTAGGGCAGCGAGGCTGAACCATCAAGTGGGTGATGCTGGGGCTCTGGCCCACCGGGGGTTTCACATCCACCTGGTTCCAGCCCAGGCATTTGGACTGAAGGCCCAAGAGCCAGTGGAGTGTATTACAGCTATTCCTACAGTTTTCCTGTTCAGCTGAAAGGAATCCACTCAATGCCCTCCAAGACTGGCTCATGTTGCAGAGCCACGTACAGTATGTGGGAACAGATGGGAGATGCCTTTCAGAAGTGCTCTTGAACTGAAATGTCACTGTAGATCACAGTGAGCAGTCAGTGGGACACAGCCAGGCTGGCAAAGGGACAGGCTTCCCAGAGCCATATTTAATGTGGGGACTACTCTGAAAAGCTTTGTAGTCCTCTAAATAGGTTTTTTTGTTTCAGCCATTGTGCCTGCAAACCAGACTCCAAATATCTGGCTTTAATTTCTTGGATCCAGTAAGTTACATTGCTTGGAGAATAGGAATGCAAAGAAGGCTGATGGTATGTGCTGATTTCAAATAGATCTGGGTTACAGTTGTGTTGGGTTAGTGTGGCAGGATTTTGGTCGTGGGTGGCTTCTGGGGTTGGTTCTGTGAGATGCTTCCAGAAGTTTTGCCCATATCTGACAGATCCAATGCCAGCCAGCTCCAGGATGGATGAAGCTCTGGCCAAGGATAGGCCCAGCAGCCACCATGATGGTGCCAGTGGTCTAATAGATTTAAGAAGTGGGGAAAAGCTGCACCATTGCAGCCAGGGAGAGGAGTGGGAATATGGGAGAGGAGCAACTCTGCAGACACTGAGGTCAGTGGAGAAGGAGAGGCAGGAGGTCCTCTGGGCACAGGAGCAGAGATTCCCCTGCAGCCCCTGGTGCAGAGCATGGGGAGGCAGCTGAGCCCCTGCAGCCCAGGAAGGTCATTAGGGGAGCCTGGATCCCCCTGCAGCTCAGGGAGGTCCATAGGGCAGCCTGGATCCCCCTGCAGCCCAGGGAGGTCCATAGGGCAGCCTGGATCCCCCTGCAGCCCAGAGAGGTCCATAGGGCAGCCTGGATCCCCCTGAAACCCAGGGAGGTCCATAGGGCAGCCTGGATCCCCCTGCAGCCCAAGGAGAACTCCACGCTGGAGCAGGTCCATGCCAAAGGAGGCTGTGACCCCGTGGGAAGCCCGTCCTGAGGGGGCTCCTGGCAGCGTCTGTGGGCAGTCAGTGGAGAGGAGCCCCTCTGGAGCAGGTTTGCTGGCAGGACTTGTGACCCACAATGGAGCAGTTCATGAAGAACTGCAGCCCGAGGGGGGAAGGATGCATGTTGGAGAAGTTCATGGAGGACTTTCGCCCGTGGGAGGGATCCCAGGATGGAACAGGGGAAGAGTGTGAGGGGTCCCCTTCCTGAGGGCGAAGGAGCGGCGGAGACAAAAGTGTGGTGACTGACCAGTTCCCATTCCTCTTCCCCCTGTGCTGCTGGAGGGGAGGAGGTAGAAAATTCAGGAATGCAGTTGAGCCCGGGAAGAAGAGAGGAGTAAAGGGAAGTTGTTCTAAGATACGTTTATTTCTCATTACCCTGCTCAGATTTGATTGGCAATAAATTAAATTAATTTCCGCAGCGCGGCCGCCCCCGGCAGCCGGCGAAGGAAGGCCGGGAGAGGGCGCTGGTGGCGGGGAAATGCCCGGGGAGGCCGCGGAGAGCGGGACCCAGGGAGTGCCGGGCTCCGCAGGGATGCTGGCACTCGCGGCGGGCCTCTGCCGCTCAAGAGCCGCTCCAGCTCTCGTCTGCACACAAAATTTGTATTGCATTATTTACATATATTATATTAGTGCAACAAATGTCTTAGGGCTGGGTGTGTAAAGATAGGGAGGCCACACTCTTTCCAGTGGATCCCAGTGACAGGAGAAACGGGTACACACGAAGCACAGGGAGTTCCATCTGAATATGAGGAAAAATTCTCTGTTGCATGGATGACAGAGCACTGGAACAGACTGCCCAGATAGGCTGTGGACTCTGCTTCCCTGGAGACACTCAAAACCCACCTTGGTGCAATCCTCTGCAACCTGTTTCTGCTCTAGCAGAGGGGCTGGACAGGGTGGTCTCCAGAGGTCCCCTCCAACCCCAACCACTCCATGATTCTGTGATTGTGATCAGTACCCAGAGAGTCCTGCTGCTGCAGACAGAAGAAGACAAAGGTGTGCTGATGGTCATTATAAACATCAGAACACTCGAGGCAGCTCTAAGCTCATAAATGGGAAGAGGAAAAATCGTGGCTGGCACATCTGCTGTGTAGATAAAGGGCCTTCTTGCTTGACGTGCAGCAGCACAGGCTTCACCGTGCTTGGGCTGGGAACAGACATGCAGAGGAAAATGCTGAGCATGGTTTTTTCCCTGGGGTATATTGCAGTGTGACGTTTATCTTCTGCACCCCAAGTATCAGCTGTTTGTACAGGAAACTTTCCACTTTGATTTCCCAGGAAGCCAGGCTCTGCCTCAGGACTGGGTGGTTTCCTGTAACTACAGGATCATTGTTGGAGGGATGGGGTCTGTTCCAGCTTCACCGTGTTCCTCAGTGGCACAAGACA